TCCATGCAAAAGACAGTAATGCCCTTCTCATCTTGCATGAATGATATAACTTAACAGAAAAGGTTTGAACCTACAATACCATGCTAAAGGAGAATCTTGTTCTTGATTGTATTTTTATATGGAACAAACTTATCAAACCTATGAAAACTTCTTCCAGCTCAAGTGCCCAATCCTACATTTTACAAAGTACAAACAAGGCCTCCTAGCAAGTTTTTTCCTACAACCAGAGTACAATGTCAATTTCATGTCAGATATTATAAAAAGACAAAATAAACAAATCAACAAACATATGACTTCATTAGACAGGGAATCAGAAAAAGGTTTACCTGTAAAATTCAACAAATAGATCTTTATCACTAATGTAGGCAAGCAACTTTACTACCTGCAAATTAGTTCAAAAACTCAATCACTTCTGCTTACCATTTGCTGCACAGGAGACTTTCGATGATGATGAGGGCATTTACGTCTTTTGAGCAAACAAAATTTTAACATACCTTCTCAAGCGTGTCCTCAATGGCTTCATCATTCAATTTCTCACTTCCACCATTTTTAAGAATATTATCACAAAATGTAGCAAGTACCTGGATAAATTATTTTTTTAATATATTAATAATATTATCACACTTAAGGTTGGTTAATATATTATAAGTTCTGCAACTAGATTGTGAATTTCAAGCACCTGGATAAATTATTTTTTTTAAAAAGAAATAAATATGGATATATGAAAAGATATATAATGTAGTAACAGGATTTTACCATGTCATCAGACCTATCAACTGTAATAACCTCTCCTTTATCTTTCATAAGGGAAGTAATTGCAGTTGTTTTTCCACCAGGGGCAACACACATGTCCAATATTCTTTCTCCCTCTTGTGGATCTATAAATATATGAATTGCCAGAATTACCCCTCGTTGACAATCAGAAAGAAGAAAACAAAGATGTATATATGTAGACATACCTAAGACATGTGCAGTGATGATGCTTGACAGGTTTTGAAGAAATATGTCCCCCTTCATCACATTTGTATGTAGTAATTTTTTATTAATGAATTTCAAAAGAACTTAGGGTAAAATCGTAAAAGAAAAATAAAAAATGTATACCATTAAAGGATGTTAATTTAAAAACTCTATCATTCATATCCACAGCAAGACCTAATAATCCATGAAACATTCTTGCCCTTGACATGGTTGTGGTTCCTTGACTAATATATAATCCATCTCTTGCAAGATATTGAGGATCTACAATAGATATATAGCAAGTGTTATAATTTATTTATAGAGAAGTAAAAGTAAGTAAGTTGAATGAAGAGAGAGAGAGAGAGAGAGAGAGAGAGACCTGTTTTGAGTCCTTGTAGTCCTTGTAGGACAATGCCACGTGTGATTCCAATAGCCCATCCATTGTCACGACTAGGCTGTTCAACACCAACTGAAACTTCAACTAAATCCCCTTTCTCAACATGAGCATTGCGTGCTAATATACCTGGAACATATACCTACACAAATATCACAATCAAACATCAAAATATGAACACTTTCTAGTGTACCTAATCAATCATGTTGCACATTAATAATAAAGCTAATAGTATTTCTCATGGTCATAACATACTCCTTTAACTATTTAGTCACTAAAGACCAATAAACCCACAAACGAGAATAAGAGAAAGATGACAAGAAAAAGGAAAAGAGAACGCAACTGCAAGAAGAATAAAAATGAGAAATTGGGTACCAAGTGAATGTTAACCATTCATAAAAGAAGAAACATAATATAAGATTACAAGCCCGAATGAAAAACAAACATGATTGATAGAATGTGTGATCATTTGAATTAGGATGATGATGATGATGACAAAATGATTAATATAACAATTTCAACTGTTGCTTACCTGAGCACCTCGAAGAACTGCCTCTGCACACTTACAGATGACAATTATCTCCTTAGGAGGCTTGTCTTGCTGATAATCATACTGAATATCATGTGGGCCTGAACCCTTTACAAATACAACATAGTCTAGCCCAGGTATTTGACTCTTTAAAACACTTAGGGATTCTATATCACCATTCTTTACAGTATCTTGCAGCCTCTTATCGCATTGAATTTCCAGAATCTTCTCAATGATAGCTTCAGTTGTTGTGTTCAGTGTGTTTACACGTATTCAAATCCTGAGAAAGCCAGCAAGAAAAGAAAACAGATGTCCAGTGTTGGCATCGATAAAAGATATAATATGATCAACTTTATATCATCAGAAGTAGTTTTTAAAATAGTCTTGTTTCCATTACAGGCATCTTTAGCAGCTGCGCAGCAACATCTATGGCTAAAAGTACCCTTCTAAGCAACCCTGTAGCTGCAGCAACATCTATGGCTAAAAGTTGGGTACCCTGCAACACATCCTGTTCATAAAAACATAATATGATGAGTCACCGAGGGTAATATTGTCATTTGAGTGAGGAGGAAAGGAGTTAACGAATTATTATTATTATTATTATTATTATTATTATTATTATTATTATTATTATTATTATCATTATTATTATTATTATTATTGTGGTGCTTCCTTTCAACTTTTTCATGGACCTTCCGATTATATTCTCTTTCTCCTATGCTTTCACTAGTTGAACCCCTTCAGGATCTTTAGGATAACTAGTCATTTTAAGTGCAAAAAAAGCTTTTGAGGCTCATGCAAAGGTATTCAATGTTTCTTTTTTCTTGACTTGAATTTTATTTTTTTCTGAGAATAATATAATATTGACACTAGAATTGTAATTGGTTTCATGATCAGATGGTAGGTACTCAATTTAGACCATCTTATTATAACCTGTGGTCAACTACCCAATTTCCAAGTCTGCAGAATCTTGACTTAATAAGCGGTCAACGGATCTTCAATGAGCCAATAAGTCAAGAATTTTCTTCAGGTGAACCAGATGTCAAACCAAAACGATGCCGTGTATGCCAAAGACCAAAAGTCAAACAGTTGACCAAAGAGTTAAGTCAAGCTCAAGATAACTCATTGTATTTGACATTAACTGTGTGACCATTCTCAAGTTACATTGTAGTTCAAATTTTCTCTGTTTCATACCTGTCCTGGGATTTTACTATGAAAGGCAATGAAAGAAACATGACATCAGATGTTGATATGGAAATAATATCCTGCAAATTTAGCAAATAAAAAAATTAAAAACTCCTGAAAATAAAACTGTAGAATAAGATAGCATCTATACATTTTTCAAATAATGGACTGAACTTGTTTCATACTCAAAATTATGCATCTGTTCCATTAATTTAAGCTTTGAAATTTAGTTAGTTGTAATCAAAACCATCATCTTCTTTTATAGGTGTTTTTACCAAACTTATACAACAAATGCAAGTAAAAGGCATGCAGGTAATATTTGCAGTTACAAATGTCTATAAATAAAAAAACACAAACCAAATTAAATGGATTGTGTATGCAGGTTGAAGAGTTATATTCCTTAGATCTTGATTCTATAAACAGTCTTAGGTACATATATTGAAACTAATCTAACTCCTCTGTTAGGTTACTGCATAGTTGAAGAAGAGGAACTCCTGGTATACAAATACATGTCCAATGGAACTTGATCATCAGCTCTGCATAAAAACGGGAGCTTGTTAGATTGGTCTACAAGGTTTAGATTGCTTCAATTGTAGCAAGAGGTCTGAAGAAGGGTATAAAGGTAATTTAGTCGATATGGAGAACATTGGTCAGCAGAGTAAGTCAACGACTGAGAATGAGTTGTAGTGGTGTTGTTGAGGTGTGTCGAGATCATGATAAACATACCTTAATCAGCCCTAGGGCTTGGAAACTTGAGCCGTCGTTCCAGTCTCCGGTGAGGTGAGGTGAGCCTAAGGTCTCCGGTGGAAAGAGGTGAGCTAAGGTCGCTTGCAGGTGAGGAGAGCCGAGGTAGAGAACGTTTCATAGAGCACTCCTTGAAAAAAGCCCTAGATAATGGTCCCATTGATTTTTTGATAAGATAAATAGTATGTTCAATGAAGAAGAGGATTAGAAGACAACGTTGAATGGATTTTTCAACAGTGAGGGCAAGAACGTTCATTGAACAAACCATACCGTTTCATCCTCCTCATGAGAGCTTTGCATTTGAAGATTCTTCGTGGATCTTTTTCCTTAAGAGTTAGAAGCATTATCGCAGTATTACGGATTTTGTTGAGTCGTTCCTTTTCAACTTTGCATCGTAGATTGTATTCTCCGTTCAATTTCAACTTTGCGTCTAGTCTTTCCTTTTCATTTGAGCGTCGATAATTAGGGCAGGAGGGAAAGGAGGGCAAGAGGGAAAGGAGAAAAAAAGGAAGGCGGGGTTTTTAATTTTTTAGGATTTCATTTTCCCCCTGGTTATTAAGGGATGGAACGCGCGTTCCATTAAAATTTATAAAGCGACATCCATAGAAGACGCACATTTTATTATAGGTGCCCTCCATTTTTTTTTTTTTTTTTGGATTAGACACTAATTTAAGGGTACTCAGTAATGCGCGACCTAAATCCTTAAAATTTTTGAAGAGATGACACTTTTTTAATGTCGCTCTCTAATGCGAAACATAAATCAAAGAGCGTCGTGTTTTGCGTGTCCTAAAAGGGTCTTTTTCTTGTAGTGCCTTTAAGTTTCTTTCGAGTTAATCAAGAAATAATCACCGAAAATTTGATTTACAGAGAAAAGAAAGAGAAATCGGAGCTATTGAGTGGGGAAAAGTAGAACTTGTCAGGGGATTTAAGAGCGATTTATGGCAATTGAGAATTTAGGGTCTTTAGTTGGACCGATTTTGCCTTCCTGAACAAGAAGATTGCCGTGATTGATACGAAAGAAATCGAGAAGTTGAGCAACAAAGGAAGTATCGCTCATCAAGATTCATTTTTTTTTCAAATGTATAGATTTTAATCAAATGATTTCGTTTTTAGGACCTTTGTCCTTCCCCATCATGAAGTGATCCATGTGATATAGGTGGTGATTAATAAGTTAAAGTTGATTACACTATCTTGCGAACTATTTGAATATGAGCTCATTTTGGTATAATCTTTGGATCCCGATCCGATCTTACGATTACGATCTTGCATCCCGTAAAACGATCTTAGGTAAGATTTTGATTTTAATAACTTTTAGCCATACTGCTATTTTGAAGTGAAAGCTTATCACATGGATGAACACCAATAACACCTAAAAGAAAAAGAAACGACAAGTACAAAGATAAAAATCAAAGAGCTCCTATTAACAAAAAGATTACATGCGGTTTGGTTAAAATCGCCGATTTTGTCCTTTTTATTGGGACCATCTTTTGTTAGAAATATGGTTTAGTGGTACTTGGAAATCTGAGAATCGTGATAATCACTTTCAAATCGAAGTATTTGGGTGGTACTTCCAAATCCTCAATTGGATAAGACTCAGATAAAATCAAAGAGAAAGAAAGAGAGAATGAGATGGTGTAATTTTCGTGAGTACCAGAAAACTGACTAAAAATTGGTTATATACATTCATTGTCTGAAAAACTGTCAAAACTGTCATATAACAGTTTTTCTCAACAATCAAAACTGTTATAAATCCGGGTTTGATATAAGGATTAATGCAAAGTCAAAACCGGGTCAAATATTCAAAATTTTGATTTTCTGATGCATTTTTAAAAAATGCCAAAAACGGATTTAAAAAATAAAACAAATTATACTAAATCTTTATTAAATTTATTAAAATAAAATAAAAATAAAAGATCTTAGTAATTAAATGTTTGATGGAATGAAATAATAAGTAATTATTTTAAAGATTTTAAAGTTTTTTTGTTAATAAAAAAAAGGGTTGTTGTCACTCTAGTCCAACAAACTTTAGTATATTGATTTAAATGGTCCACCGTAACTATTTTTTTTACATTTCAAGGGCATGAACTTGTAATTTTAGGTTTTAAAAGATCATTTTGAAAATTTTGAAGGGGTCTCTCGGTGACCCCATACTAATCATCAGTTTGCAAATACCACCTAACTAATTCACCTCATCTCTTTCTCTTTATCTCTCTCTCTCTCTCTCACACACACACACACATACACATACACACACACTCTCTCTCTCTCTCTCTCTCCCTTCATTTTTCTCTCTCAAGATAGTAGCCATTAAAGATATTTTGTTGGCAACAATCTCATACCCACTGCCTTCTTCTTCCTTGTCTTCATCCATCAACGTTCCCATCATCATCCACCACCATGTAACACACCATCATCCCTTCCTTTTTGTAGTTGGTGGATTATTTCCCTACATTTCCATAAACACGTGGTGTGCATCACAAAAAGTGGTTCGTAGATAATTTCTCTGGTCTAGTTTCCACAACTTCAACATCCTTCATAGATTAGTCATTTTCATCTACTAAAACAAAGACGAAAAAATCAAAACACGAAACCCAATTGAGTAATTATTGAAAAACGAGATTAAAACACTAGTGTTGTTGCTTTTGCTGTTCTCAAAAGCCATAGGCATAACTTTTGATTCTTCGTGATGACTGCGGTTTTCACAGTTTCAACATCCTTCACAGTTTCGATCCCAGCCATGGGCTCTGCCCCTTGGACCCCGCCAAGGGCTGCCGCCCCTTGGACCCCGCTCACAGGGGCGCTGCCCCCGGACCCTTGTTCGTTAAGGGGTTTCGCCCTTAAATGACAATGTACTTTGATACTTGATCAAACTTAAACAAGTGTGTACTCCTTAACAAAGTAATCCCATTACACTTAAATAACATTGATGATAACAAATCACCAACATCTTTAATCCCTAACAAATATATATATATATATATATATATATATATATATATATATATATATATATATAAAAGCATTTTATCCTTGTCATATTTTTAATAATTAAAACAAATACTTAATTAAAATTAAAAATCATCGAGTCCCACCATCGATTCCTAACCCCTCCCTTGACCTCCTCCCCTCTTCCTTTCCTTTGATACTTTGATACAGAAATCTCCTCTTTCTTGTTGTACATAAGCATCATAGTATAGATCTTATTACATCCGATCGTGATCCAGCAGTTTCGACATCGGTCCAATAGAGATCGGATGAGCTCGAGCCGTAAATGGTCTTTTCACGTGCTCAAGTGAGATGAGAGAGAAATAGATGTTTACAAGAGCTGAAGATGTTGGATGTGGGGGTACGACACATTTTCTTATTTTCTAAATTTTCTTTAAATAAAAATTATTAGATAAAACAAAAAAAATAGAAAATAAAATATAAAAGGCAATATTGTTTTTTATGGAATCTAATTCGTACACAATAATTTATATTTTAAAATGTTACAAACATACAAAATATAAATTGTTGTACATGGAAAGATGTTACCTAATAATAATAACTTTCCTTTTTTGTATGACTCAAAGTGACAAAAGACATAACAAAATCATAAAATAAAGACATCAAAGCTAAATAAAAGTCCGAAAACTTAATTTTCACCAACCTACAAAGGACAATTTAAATAATTACTCAAAAAGAAAAGAAAATAGAAAGAAGTAAACAACAATGTTTGTTTGCACGTCAAAAGAAACCTTTCTCCTTCCCCATCATGCAGTGATCCATGTGATATGTTTCACCAACAAAATAACACTTACATCAAAACACACACACACCCATGTCATGTCATATGATTCACTCCGATCCAAGGATGGTACTACTTACATATACACATGTAGTTCGCATCCCCTAGCTTAGCTAGCTTATCCTTTCTATCTCTTTTTATAAAACCCACCATTTATAGCCTATATATTAGCCTTCATGTACTCAAGTAGCTAGCTTCTGATTATTTTTGCAAACTCCCGTTGGTATGTTGAAGATGACATATATGGCGAATATGTTACCTCTCGATCATTGGAACTGGTGGACTCGGAATAATAGTTGTGGTTGGGGATGCTGATCTACATGGTAAAATCTATTTCCATTCTTAATTATATTATCTTGCAACTTCACTCATTATTTTGTTTTGCATAGATTTAAAGTTTAAGAAAAACTCATGACATATCAATATATACCCTAACACATCAATTTAATTATCATTAGTGTATCTCGGTCGGGTTAATCAACCAAATTTTGCAATCACAGGTTTACCGGGAAAGATTGTATCTTGATTGATGGGGTTAATATTTGGAAGATTGGGCTGCTTGATTTGAGGTCTAAATTGGAAATAATTCCACAAGATCCGACCTTGTTTCAAGGAACTACGAGGACGAATCTTGATCCATTAGAAGAACATTCGGATTGTGAGATTTTGGGAGGTGTTAAACAAGACCCAGGTTCCAGACATTGTAAGGCAGGATAAATTTACTCGATTATAAAATTGTCAACCAAATATAAAGTAAATTTCGGACTATGAGGACTAATGTTGATCCGTTAGAACTTAGATGAGCATTCTTAATACACCATATAAATTTTACTTGTTTCTTATTGTACCATTGTACGTTGATAAATTTTCTCAATTACAAAATATCAACCAAATATAAAGTAAGTTTCATGACTTGTTATATTTGGATAAGTTTTTTAAAATTTAACATATTAATATGAAAAAAGTTGAAAGTATAAATTCTATAATTTAATATATCATTTATGATTTAGTAAAAGAACTGAGAATATAATAATGAAAGAAATATTTTATATGCAACACAAATAAACAAAAATATGTTTACTTATTCCTTGCATCTAGTTCATATTTGGGTTTATTCAACAAACGCGATTGTATATACAATTTGTTTTAGCCCCATTTTTTTTTTTTTTTTTTTTTTTTTTTTTTTTTTTTTTTTGCTAATCTACCATTATATTTTAAAAATCCTTTCATTTTCGGGTCTTTAGTCGCTCACTAACAGATGATGATAATGTGTCGGTTTACCATTTCTCTTAGTTTGTATCTAACAATAATATTTACGTATGAGTTCGCATTTAACCCAAATATTTTTTTTTGTTTCACATCTATCATTGTTTTTTTAGAAAAATTTTCATTTTAGCCATTGGCCGGTTACGAATAGGCATTTTAAAATTTAATAAGTTATAATGAAAAAGGAAAAAATGAGAGCAAGAGTCGAAACCGCGATTTCTCCTTGAGGACGGGTGTGTTAGCCAGTAAAACAATGACTTTTTTTTTGTATTATCAACGATTGTTGTATTT